AGGCCAATGTACATGTTGTCAACCCCAATGCCAACCTCTCGCGTACACCACATACATACTGCCATCTCCCTCATCACCCCCTGTCCACCCACATCTGCACCTCCGCCTGAACACCACCGTCACCCTCCTCTGCCCTCGCGCCCTGCAGCTCGGCTATTGCTGCTAGCGCCCCTCGCCACTCGGCGCACGCTGTCGGAGGGTGAGGCGCCGTGTGAACGGAAGTTGACTCGACGCGGTCAGCCTCTGCGGCGTGTCAAATCTGTGCCAAGGGCTGCCCGCGGTTAAAGTCAACCAGGCTCCAACGCGTTGGTTACTTCCCCGGGGCCGAAGCCACGAAGAAGACAATGCGGCAATACAGCCGTCAGGAGGCCTGATCGCTCCCTTTGGACTGGACCGTCGCGACCGCAAGGGTCGACTTAGTGAGGTCCGGCCCAAACGGCACTTGAAACGGACCAAGGGTTAATGAGATAATTAAGTTTCATCGTTTCGGACCGAACCGACGCAATCGGATAACTTGGCCGGAAAAGGGACAGCTCCAAATGGCCACGTAGATGGATAACTGGGCCCTAGTAGTAATTAAAAGGGGTCACGTGCTATTTTAAGTGCTGGACTGACTCTTCGTTTCCCAAAGTCGGGCCTGCCCCAGTCCCGTGCTAAAATTAGCACAGTAGCGTGCATAGTCCCATGCTATTTTTAGCGTGGGACTGACTGTTCGACTACTTGGGACTGCGCCTGCCCCAGTCTCGTGCTAAAATTAGCATAGTCCCACACTATTTTTGGCGCGGGACTGACTGTTCGACTACTTGGGACTGGGCCTGCCCCAGTCCTGTGCTAAATTTAGCACAGTCCCACACTAATTTTATCGTGGGACTGACTGTTCGATTACTTGGGACCGGGCCTGCCCCAGTCCCGTGCTAGAATTAGCACAGTCTCATGCTATTTTTAGCGTGGGACTGACTGTTTGACTACTTGGGACTGGGCCGGCCCAGTCCCATGCTAAAATTAGCAGAGTTCCATGCTATTTTTAGTGTGGACTCAGGACTGACTATTCGACTGCGTGGGACTGGCTGTTCCTATTTGAAGGTCGTGTTAATTTTAGCACAGGCTTGGTCTATTTTTAGCCCTGGCCCCAACATTGGGACTGCAGCACTTGGGCCTGACCACCTGGCCTCTCCACCATAAAAGAGAGGCCGTGTCACTCGAGAGAGGCAGGAAATGCTTGAGTGAAGCGCAGAAACGCTGGTGGAGCGGCAAGGAGCAGCAGGAGCCAAGACCAAGTCATTGGGACGAGTAGAAGAGGGAGCAAGCTTAACAAGATCGAGGGAAGCAAGGGGGAGAGGTAAGGGAGAGGTTGGCAGCCTTTTGGGCGGCTGCAGTGGCCAGGGTGTCTTACTTTGAACTCTTGCACTTTTGCTCCTGCTGCTCACACCCGCCGTCTCCTCTCATCCTCCCGTCCCCTCGCTCCTCCTTTCTCTTTTTTTTCATTCGTTCTCCCTCTCATTCTCTCTTCCCAGCTCATGCGCTCACTCTTGCCCTGCTCAAACCCCATATCTGTGTGCCCGCACGCCCTTCTACCCGCCATTGCTGTCCGGATCCATGTGCTCTTGCTGGTTTAATCGGCGCGCACGGGCAGGCATAATAGTTGATTGGGATCTACCCGCCATTGCTGATCCGGATCCATGTGCTCTTGCTGGTATATTCGGCGCGCCCTTGCGCGCATTCTAGTTGATCGGGACCTGTCCGCCATTGCTGATCAGGATCCATGTGCTCTTGCTGGTTTAAACGGCGCACCCTTGCGAGCATTACAGTTGATCGGGATCTGCCTCCCATTGCTCATCTGGACCCATGCACCCTGTGCAAGCTGTCGCTCACTGCGAATCCGCTCACAACCCCACCAGCATTGTCGAAAGATCGGGATTCCTCCACACTCGTTTGCACTATTACTGGCCGTGTGGGTGCCGATTAGTGATTGGCTCATGAGCCAGGCTGTTGATCGGGGTGTGTACCAGTGCTGGCTTTCGCTGGATCGAGGACCTGGGCTGCGCACCTGGGCTGTTTACTTGCTGGCACGTACATCGGGACGCCACCCATTGGAGCCGTGTACTAGCTCAGTCGTGGATTGGAGCCGCGCACCAGCATTGATTGGAACTCTGGTCACAGGCTGGGATTGCACACTTGCGCTGTGTTTTGCTGGCTCGATGATTGGAACTCTGGCCACAGGCTGGGATTGTGCACCATAGCAGTGTTTGCTGGCTCGCCGATTGGGACTCTAGCCACAGGCTAAGATTGCGCACCAGGAGAGTGTTTCTCGCCAGGAGAGTGTTCGCTGGCCCTCTGATTGAGACGCTGCCCACAATTGAGGTTGTGTACTTGCAGTTAGTACTACACATTAGCTTGTAGAACGAAATATGTGCGCTGAAGTGGATGATTGCCAATTGCTGTGTGGTAATACCAGACTGTGTTCACACTAAGAACGGTAATGCAGCACTGTGGACAGTGTTCAGTGTTCCCACTCAATGCTGGAACATGGTAATGTTGGACTGAGGTAACGCTGGACTGCAGTGAATGCGGGACTGCGTTCAGTGTTCGCTCAGAACAGTAATGCTAGACTGCGGCAATGTTGGATTGCGGTCGCTGGATTGCGGTAAATGTGGGACTGCGCTCAGTGTTCGCTCAGAACAGTAATGATAGACTCCGGCAATGTTGGATTGCGGTAATGTTGAACAGAGGTAACGTTGGACTGCGGTAATGCCGGACTGTGGCAAATGCTGGACAGTGTTGCTGGGCTGTGTTCACACTCAGAACGGTAACAATGGCTAGTGTTCCCACTTGTATTTAGTAATAATTGGGCAACGTCTTTGCCATTTGGGATATTGTTGTTGTGGTGTGCACCCTCGCTTGGTATTAATATTTTACTGCGCGCCCAAGGCTCAAACTGGCTGTTTGCGTGTGCACCCCAGCTTCGACTTGATAATTTGGTGTGCACCCAGGCTCAACTGGTTGTTTGACTGCGCGCCCCACTTGAACTTGATGATTTGGTGCGTGCCCAGCCTCAAATCGGCTGTTTGAGTGCGCGCCCCAGCTTGGACTTGATGATTTGGTGCGCACCCAGGGCCAAACTGGTTGTTTGAGTGTGCGCCCCCGCTTGAACTTGATGATTTGGTGCGTGCCCAGGCTCAAACTGGATGTTTGCGTGTGCGCCCCAGCTTGGACTTGATGATTTGGTGCGCACCCAGGCTCAAACTGGTTGTTTGAGTGCTCGCCCAAGCCCAAACTTACTAGTTGCGTGTGCGCCCATCGTTGATGATTTAGTGCGCGCCCAGTCTTGGCATTGACGTTTTAGTGCGCGCCTGTGTTCGGTGTCACTGATTTAGTGTGCGCCCAGACCCAATGTTGCTGTTTTAGTGTGCGCCTATGTTTTGTGTAGCAGATTTGAGGCATGCCCAGGCCCGATATTGATGGCCTAGTGTGCACCCAAGCTTAAACTCAATATTTTAGTGTGTGCCTATGCTCGACATTATTGATTTAGTGCGCACCCAGCTGATGTAATGACTCTAGAGTGCACGCCCCGCCGATAGGATGATTCTAGACAGCACGCCCTGTTGATATGATGACTTTGGAGTGTGCGCCCTGGCGATAAGATGATTCTGGAACTTGCGCCTTGCTAGTGTGGTGATTTGGGAGCATGAAACTTGCTAATCTGATTAGTTTGAGGATATGGCTGAGTGCCTTACTCCCGCTGATTTGGTTCCTTGCTGATCAGCGCTTGCGCAGATAGTAATTGTCGTCCAGTCACTATGCAGACAATATTTGTGATCTACCCCTTTGCAGCCGGTATTTTTTCCTGCACAAGTGTTATTTGTGGATCAGTCCCCACGCAGGCAATTTTGCGCAGTTCAGTCGTAGTGCATACGACATTTTGTGATTAATCCTTGCATAGGCGACACCTTGCTGGTCAGTCCTCCGCCGTGATGATACCGGCAGTTCCGGTCCTCATATCCGGGATTCGCTTGCTGCAGAGATACTTTTTGTGGTAGTGTTATATCGAGTTGCTGAGCCCTTTCAGGCGGGCCCTTTCATTGAGTTGCTGGTTGCTGTTTAGCTGGGCCCTTTCACGCAGGCCCTTTCATTGAGTTGCTGGTTGCTGTTCAGCCGGACCCTTTCATTGAGTTGCTGATTCAGGGGGGCCCATTCAGGCGGGCCAGGTATCGAGTTGATGCTGGTCAGCCGGGTCCACTACGGCGGGCCCAAACTAAGCTGGCCCATCATCGTGAGACAGCCCCGAAGTGGGGCAAACTTGTTGAGAAGTTCTATTATCGAAATGTCAGACACCAGACCTTCGTCATCAGGGTCAATGAGTCGCCTACCGCGAGACACACGCTGGCGGTCACCTACTCGGTGACTGGGGCAGAGAAGGAAGGAGTGAAGGGCACCACTTATGAGAGGATCGCAGATTACATATTTTGCAGGGATGGCTATTGGAGGGATAACTGGCTGCATGTGGTGTTCCCTCGTGTACCTTCAGCACCTGGTGGTGTACTCTTCGATTTTGATGGGTGCAATCCCAAGCCCCTCAGTGAGGCTCGCATCAAGGGGAAAAGACGAAAGGATGAGCCGATCAGGAACGAGATAGCGAGGTTCGCGATCTCAATCACCACTTGTTCGCAGATATCGAAGACCGGCAAGTTTGACCTTGACCCTTGTAGCATGAGTGACGTTAATCTTGGCGACTACTTCGATTGGGATATCCACAAAGACTGATCCCATCGTTGGTAGCTTAAGCATTGGAGACCGGCAAGCGGCGACGACCGAAAGTGACATTGCAATGAGTTGCATATCTCCTATACGATACTTGCTCGAGGGGAACTGATTCCTATATGTGAGGGGAGCCTAGGACCGATGCGGTTATTGGACCCCCAAGAGGGAAAAGACTGGTCTCATACCTTGGAGATGGATTCAATCACCTGGTTGTTGCTGATTTTGCGATGCAGGCTTTTTAGAGGCCACTTTACAGGGACCGTTTCTTGGAGGTTTCATACATTTACATCGACGACAAGGGACGGATTGAGATATTGATCGGTGCTAAAGGTGATATCACCCTTGCCGAGGAACTGTCTAGGAGTATAGCGGGCGAGGAGATGGCGAGATGCATGGCTTACATCAGCAAGATTGATCATGCAAATTCTCTTGATATCAGTTACTGGGTGTCAGGGTTCATTGCAACCCAGGTCATCAATGTGGAGCAGGAGCCGGAGCAGTGTGTGCCAAAGGCGGGGTCCCAAATAGTAGAGCTTACTCATGAGGGGGTACCACTTATTATGTGTAGTGCTCTTCAGTCTCTTGTCTCTCGTCATGGTCTTGCAGAGTTTGGTTTCTGGGCTTCTTGTTCTTTCGGTGTTATTCGTTCTGTGATGCATGATATGTCAAGTTATTTCCTCTTCTTACTACTTAGGTTGCACTCAAGGCTATTTGAAGGACTCCTCGATAATAGGGACTCTAGTGATCTCGAGTTTGACCTTTATACAGGGTCAGGTGCATGCCACTAACCCGAACGCCTCACTCTAAGCCGTGTCGCCACTGGCATGAGGGATAACCTTAACTACTCGATTGTAGGACTGAGAGTGACAAAGGTTGTTTCTGAATGCACTCATATGTTATATGATTTTTATACCTACCAAAAATTTTGCGTGACAGCCTGCCAGTCCACCAACCCACTGCACTCGGCTCGGGAAGGGACACCGAACCTGACCCTGGAAGCGGTGGGGGCACGACAAAAATGGCGTCGTTGTCGGGGACTGAAAAATCTTGAGTTCCTTGAAGCGGACCTTGATCACAATATTTAGTGACTAGGCAGCGGTTTAGCACAATTTGTACAAGGTCTGGCTCATGTCAGAAAGACATTCGGCTAGTGGAGCTCCGAGAGGAGGGCCCTCTTGCAGGAGTCTATCTAAAGTGATTCAGGCCTGCAAGCAAGGGCTTGGAACCTGTCTTCTGGGTCCCCAACTTGACAAGTCTATAAGTAAAAAAACAGACGATGACCAAATAGTATAATGTCCTAGAAACCCTAACTCGCGTCATCTGTGGTGGTGCCTTTCCCTATATGTTTATCAAATGTATTACTTGTATAGAAAAGTACAAGTGTGCATGTACTCGTCTCTAGATTCCTTGACACTGATTATTATGATATTCGAGCCTACATCCTAGAAGGGGCTGATCTTGATCCGAATTTCTTTTCCAACTGGGACGTTATTGCGAAGTGTGTCAAAACAGAGAGAGATCAATTGAGACAGCAAGGGATAAAAGCGAGTTGGAGCTTATTGCCTAGGATCTACGAGAAGATTCCTACCCCGCCGGTACCCAAAGGATTCTATGATGGTGGGAACTGACAACCTATCATCGATGCAGCATTGACGAGGCAGAACCAGTAGTCAGGCCATATCGGCAGTAACTAGAGCGATAGAGGCACTGCCCAAGATCACGGTTGGTTGTGTTTTCCCATACATCATCGAGCAATGAGTGACTTGCGAGTATGATTATGATTTTGTGAACCTATAAGTCCTTGTAGTTCGATTACTCGATACAAGCAAGTATGATGTGTGGCCGTATGCATTTGTTGAAACGAGGAGAGGGATTGATTACGAGGCGTGCAGGGTAGTTGTTGCTGAGTATATCTTGGGTGAAAGGCTGTTGTTAAAACAATAAGGAAAGAAGGTGACGTGGAGTGCTCTACTGAGAGATTTTGAGAGATTCCCGAACCCTTCTGTGCCCACTAGCTTCTGCGACGGAAAGGACAGGGGACCAATCCTCAACGCGGTACTAAGGGACCGAGTCTGGTAAGCTATGTCGATCGATGTCTACACCCTTGATGACGGAGAGAGCTTTTGCTTTGAGGTCTACTTAGACGAGCAGCGAACTACTGGCATCGAGACTGTGAGGGGATGTGACACTAGATTGGGTAGGCATGACGAGATTGGCATGGTGAAGCACTATCTTGAGCTATGCGAGCGGTTGCTTTTGGAGTAATTCCGGATCAGACTAGGATTAGGCATCTCCTAGATTGCAAGAGTTCAGATGGCAGAAGACCATTGCGACATGCGGGAGAGGAGATCATCTTATCCAGGCAGCGACCAGAGGATAGTCCGGCTGGAGGCAATAGAGACGGCTCAAGACAGTGATGGTAGAATGCGGAGACTTTATGTTTATTGCGACTGTGGTCATTGGTAGAGGATGGTTAGATAAAGTGATTGAGACTGACAACCCTTTTGAAATACTAAGGCATGACGTCTGTAGGAAAGGGCATCTAGTATTCTATGTTCCGGTGGTGCGATTACTCAGGACCGACGAGCTTGATGTGAGAATTTATGCTCCGGTTGAGATGAGGAAGAAAAAGGCTATTTAGAGTGTTTTGAAGAGAGTATACATACATTACCTAAGAATAAGGGAACTGCTTGAGGGGTTGCATGAGAGATTAACCTGGGGAGGAGAAGTCGAGTAGTTTAAAAGGCTCCCTAGTTTTCTGACAACGGATAGCTTCACGGTCAGAAGAGGTTGAACGCCTTTACTAGAAGTTATTGTTGCGGTTGGCAGGGCAGGGGAAGACGATCCAGTCATTAGGCTGAAGTCGTTGATTCTTGAAGGTTTTTGAACACCTGCTCGAAGTTCGAGACGAGGCCTCTCTTGAGTTCTCTCTCGCCTGACAATGGAAAAGGGACCTTGTTATGGCCAAGGGAGATGATGGCTTCTTAGGGAGTAAACATATATGGGAGAAGGTTGAAGGAAGAATGCTCCCCTTTAAGAATTCCTCTGTCATCTCGTGCTTAATACAAGACTTGGAACCCTTTTCAGTCGGAAGGGCATTCCCTCATGAGATCGAGAGGTAGACTATCCTAGCTATACCCGAGGAAGAGGAGGAGGTGTACGTGTTAGTAACTCGCTTCCTAGAGACCGATAAGTATGACGTGCGTATATACGCACCGGTGATTAGGAAGATCTGACAGTGGGATACAGGGTGTCACGAGTGGGCACTTTGTTACGTCTGTAAGTACAGGGATGAACTCAAGAAGGAAGGTAAGAAAGTCATTTGGAGTGCGGATCCTATTGTGTATGAGAATTTGCAAAGTCCTTTCATCTCAATAGCTTCGTCAATGGTGAGAATTGGAAGCTTATTCTTAATGTTGTCTTACGAGATAGGAAGTGGTGCAGTGTCAGCATTGACGACAAACTACTGCAAGAGGATGTCTGGAAAATGTCAGACTGGGAGACTTAGTAGGCATTGGAAAGGATTAGGCAGATCGAAGATGAAGAAAGATTAAGATGGCGAAGGGCAATCATGAAGGCTCGATTGAAGGTAATTTAATAAAATAGGGCATAACTAGTTGGAGTCGTGAGGATCGTTGCTTATTAGGGACATGATTTGTAGGAGGGTGCAAGATCCAGTGACAGAAGTGGTAGAAATCAGAAGACTTTCATCCTGCTTTAACGAAATCGAGGGTGAACTTTTTATTGATACTGGTGTCAATGGAGTAGAGGGAGAGCATAAGGTTTATGATGATAATGGGTGATACTAAGAGAGGTTAGGAATTAGGCAATGTCTTTGATATGATAGATATCAAATCATATATATCCCTTATGGGATTTGAACCCGTGTCTTCGCCATGAAAAAGTGATGCCCTATACCCCTAGACGAAAGGGACGAACGAATGTGCTTGTAGCTCAATTGGATAGAGCACCAAACTACGGATTTGGGGAATACAAATATAACCATGTCAATCTATAAGTAATTGAACTCACACCCAAAAACAAAAAATTAGAAAAACAATACAATTGTATTTAAAAGATCTTGCATTTTCTGTTTAGATATGTCATTTTTACATATAAAAATCTCATTGATAATTTGATAAAAAATTTTCATACTGCATGACAATCACGACAGCACTAGACGCCCTGGTTCCTTTTACCGGTGGAGGAATTTTTCCCTACAAGATAGAGCGTTGCTTATCTTTGGAGGAGAGACATGCCCCTGGGAAGGCGTATGTCCTTGTAAGGAAGTTTCTCGACATTGGTGAGTACGATATTGGACCCTATGTCCCTTCATTGAGGGAAAGAGGGGCAAACCATGAGTCGTTTCAAAACTGGATTAGTAATATAATCGACCAAGAGGAGAGAATTAGAAAGGAAAGAGGAGAGAGTAACCAGTAGTATGAGAATGGTTGTTTTTTACAGAATCCCTGAACCCCTATTGTCGGAAAGCTTCACTGACGGTAAAAATCGGGAGCCTATCATAAATGCGGTCTCACGAGAAGGAAAACATAGGAGGAGGTAGGTATACGGATAAAACATACGAGATGGTCAAGGTAGCGGGAGATCGGTAGAGTCGGGCTAGTTCCTCCGAAGGTACCTCCGGAGAATATACCCTGCTTTGATGGGACCAAGGTTAGGGAGTTCTTGAAGGACTATGACGTCTTTAGGATGAGTCATGGTTGGTCGGATAATCAAAAGTTGAAAGCTCTGCTGGCCTATGTTGAGCCAAATAGGAGGGTGTCGGTGACAAAAACGACAAAAGGGCTGACAACATGGGCGGATGTTAAATAAAAGATGCTTGAAGAGTATGCAAAGTATGATCCCAACAACCATGCAAAATTTGTTGGATGTGCGACGTGGCAAATACGCCACCCTTGACCAATTCTTGGAGGACTTTGAGAGGGTCGCACAGAGAGTGCCCTTCCTAGATGAGGCACAAAAATGTCATGTCTTCCGAACTAACTTCGTAGAGGATGAAAGAAAAAACGTGGTAAGCCGCACTGCCCATTATCCTCTGAAGTCGGAAGAGGTGGTCGAGATGGTCAGTGAGCTACCTTGGTGTCAAATCAAAAGTGGTCTCTATAACAAATGAAAGCATTAACTAGTGTAAGAGAGAGAAACATTGAGGCAACTGGGGGAGGGAACTTGAAGGCCGAGGAGATCCTTGATCTTTTTGTTAAGCTTGCTAGCGTCAGGTAATTAACCCTCCGACACCAACGACACAAGCCCTAGTTGGGCCCGAAGAAGAAAAGGAAGAAAGGAAAAAGGAGAAGCAAAAGAAAAAAAATGAGAGTAAGAGCGAAAGTAGTGATGGCGATTATGCGAGGCGGAGGAGAAAGGAAAGGAAAAAGAAATGGGATAGGAAACGAGACCGAGATTGGAGAGAGGATAACAAGATTCGAGACTGATAGAGGAGAGATGACCCCTTTCGATGTTATTATTATGATGAGAAAGACCATACCTAACGCAGTGCGCAACGCTAGAAAAGGAGCTTGAAGAAAGGATCGTCAAGAGAAATGCGAATGGTTACATTTGTGATGCCAATTGGAATAGGATGGAATTTCAAGTTAAAAGAGGGATGCGAGCGACAATCCTAGAAAGAGCCAAGGCCAATAAGGATAAGAGGAAGAAGACTAGGGTTAATGCTATCTCCTTTTATAGCATTTTACCTTCGGAGATAGTGGCTCATGACAACAATTCTCGAAGCTAAGAATTAAATGTATCTCATATCA